GGCTTTTTGGCTTTTTGGCTTTTTTGACTTTTTTGTGAGAGAAAAATGTAATGATTATAGGTTGAATGTGATGTTTTGTTTGTTATGGCTAAAATAGCCTATTTTATTTTTTGTGGCTAAAATAATCAAAAAAAACCTGAAAAAACCCTCGCCAAACACAGGCTAAATTCAACTCGCAAAAATTGTGTGCCTAAGCTGAAAATGAGCTAGATATGTTGGATATCTAAAGGACACCATGGCCATGCTGATGATGCTCACAACACAAGCAATGTAACAGAGACGACAAACAATGAACCATAAAAGCTTGGGACATGTACTACATAAATCTTGTCAAAGCCTGTTGAAGCTGAAGCAAATCCATGGCCAATCCATCATACTCGGCATCTACAATCACCACCAACACTTCACCTGCAAATTGCTCAACTCCTACTTAAAACTAGGCCAACCACTCCTAGCCCACACTGTCTTCTCTCACATTCAAAATCCAGACGTTGTGTCCTTGACTTGCCTCATCTCCATCTACCTCCACCTTCAACTTCCCACCAATGCCTTCTCTGTCTTCTCCCATTTGGTCCTCTCTGGTCTCAAACCTGATGGCTTTTCCATGGTCGCTGCTCTCTCCGCTTGTGGCCGTATGGGAGACCTCAACAGTGGCAAGATAGTTCATGCCATGGCCTTCAGGTTTGAATTCTGGGGTGGGTCTGAACCACCCATTTTGGGTAATGCCCTGATCGACATGTACAGCCGAAACAAGCGAATTCAATCAGCTCAAACGGTGTTTGAAGCAATGGAAATCAAAGATGTTGCTTCTTGGACCAGCCTGCTTAGTGGTTATGTCAAGTGCAACGATCTTGAACATGCTCGCCACTTGTTTGATATAATGCCGCATAGGAATGTTATTTCTTGGACTGCTATGATTGTGGGCTACGTCAATGGGGACTCCCCAATTCGGGCACTGGAATTGTTTCGGGAGATGATGAGAGCAGATGGCGAAGAAGATTACCCAACTGCTGTTACAATTGTTGCTGTCCTCTCGGGTTGTGCTGATATTGGAGCTTTTGATCTTGGCATGTCAATACATGGTTACGTGAACAAAACCAATCTGATTGTGGATGTGGTGGTGAATAATGCTCTTGTAGATTTGTATTCCAAGAGTGGAAGCCTTGATTTGGCAGTCGTGAGCTAGCCGGCGGGTGTGTGCCGGAAACCTCTCCGATGCCTAAGTCAGAAAACTTGACAAATAGACAAAGCTCTAAGTTCTCAGAAAGATTGTGTTCAATTACCTCCTCCAAGGTGATGCTTGTGAGCTTTTATAAGTTTCCCGTGGCACAATCCTAGTAGGACTTGTACTTCTCCATGCAGAGTCCTCCTAGGATTCATTCTCCTAAGGATAATGCTTATCCTTTTACACCCTCCCCCACTGCTTAAACCAAGTGGGATGGTTTTCTTTATG